GTGGCTTCACAGTCAAGATTGCTCATCTCTGGAGGGCAAGGTCCCGGAACAAACGGATAGCATAATGCAGGCACCTGCTTTTTACAACATAGAAAACTCTGGTTGAGGCAGATGAGAAACTATTCCTTTAGTAAGGCATGCATGATAGAGAGACCGCCAAGTAAGATCTAACAAGCAGAAAATGTAACGAACTAGAGGTTAAAGGATTATATGTACAATATTTTGTAAAAGGTAAGTGTAAATTACTGGTTTTCTGTATAGAGTGACATTAAAATGGATGATTTTGAAATATTGGAATTGAGAAATACAATCATTGAAATAAAAATGTTAAAGCTTTCAATAGGAGTGATAAAGAGTGGACTTAATCTTGGTAAGGGAAAATGAATGAGTTGAAACCGAAAGAAAATGCAAGAGGCTGGGTGCAGTGGCTCACGCCTGTAATCCTAGTACTCTGGGAGGCCTGATGTGGGAAGATCATTTGAGCTCAGGAGTTCGAGACCAGCCTAAGACAGATCCTGTCTCTACTAAAAAAAAAAAAAAAAAAAAAAAAAAAAAAAAAAGGAGGAAATTAGCTGGATAAGTAAAAATATATAGAAAAAATTAGCCGGGCATGGTAACATGCCTATAGTCCCAGCTACTTGGAGGGCTGAGGCAGGAGGATCGCTTGAGCCCAGGAGTTTGAGGTTGCTGTGAGCTAGGGTTATGCCATGGCACTCTAGCCTGAGCAACAGAACCAAACAGTGTCTCAAAAAAAAAAAAAAAAAAAATGCAAGAGCTAGCACTGTAGGTCTTATGGCCAAACTGATTTGGTTTGAATACTTAACCTCCCTATTATCTTCAGATTCTTCATCTCTAAAATGGAAATTGTAATCGTTTTTGCTTTTTAGGGCTGGTGTGAATGAAAATGTGTAAAATGGAAACCAAGTAGGTACTCAGTAAATCTCTGTTTACCCATTACATCATTATAATCTCATAAGAGGCAAAATAATGAGAAAAGACTGGAAAACAAAGGCAATTGAGGCATGGAAGATTAAATAGAAGTCTTCAACATGTATCAACGTATGTGTAATAAAACTTCCAGAATGATATAAGAGGGAAGGAAGAAGAGGCAATGCTCAAAGAAATTTTTGAAAATGGATTTTTTTTCCAGATGAAAAACATGAGGACATCTAATAATAAATTGTTTATCATGTGTCCAGCATTAAATGGGCTAGAGTAAATAATTTGGCTGGCATCTGCCAGTGAAATTAGTCAATGAATTGCCAAAATAAGTATTATGCTTGAGGAACTAGGGTGATATTTTTATTAAGTGTCATTGGTCCTTCTAGCCTTGAGTCAGCCTTGAAGTGAACATTGAATTTCTGTCTGAAGTTTTCATTCTGAAGCAGAAGTTCGAAACAAAAAAACAAAAAACCTCAGTGTCTAACCTCAAGTATTCAAATCCTGCTTGTGATACTTTATAACTCTGTACAAGATATTTAAGCTCACTGTGTCTAAATTTCCACATCTTACCAAGGCTTGTATTGAGACAATATGGTTAATTTGTATGATATTACACATACAAAAATTTTAGAATGGGGTCCTACTCATAGTAAATGCTCAATAGATTAAGTATAATTATACCAGTTACCAATGTAATGGTTCATCTGAGGAACATTTCAACAAATTTTACATTTGTCTTGTAATAATCTAGTAGGGTGCAACTAAGTTGATATATTAATATCGAGTAATTAATAACCTAATATATAGCAATAATTTTAATATATAGTAAGTCCTAGTAAATCCTCACTTGAAACACTGTCAGTGGGTTTATGAAAACTATGATCTTAAACGAAACCACATGTAGCAGGTCCTTGAATGTTGTCATTTCATTATAACATTGATGAGAAAAAAGAATTGGTTCATTATATGTCCTTTCACTTAAAGTCACAGTTTCCAATATTAATATCAACAAAATTAAGGGAGGACTTACTGTCTCTCCCTTTGTACACACACACACATGCACACACAGAGCTCATGAGATAAACCACGTAACATGAAGTAAATTCATAACATGCATTGAAAATATTTAAGTATAAGTATAAAATATTTCTATTTTTTCTAATACTTTCTATGCACTTTAAAATCTTCTTTCCAACTGTGTAATTGATTACTGTAACTGCTTCTAGTGTGAGCACATGAATTTCAATCATTTTAAATGTCTTTACATATTTGATTTAAAGTCCTCTCCTTCCCAAATTTATCTTTATAGTTTCCTTCCACCGGCTTGGGTAGGGTGAACACAAGATCTACTCTTTCCACTGAACCTAATTCTTTCATTTATTCCTCTAGCGGAAAATATGCAAAGGAAGGAGCAGAAAAATAGCAACTCCACACTAGTGGCACAGAGGTTGTTATTCCTATTGTGTGGGATGCCAGTGAAACCACAGCTAATACCAGCTGGTTTTGCTTTGTCTCTCCATGAGAGGTACTCAAGTGCTGGCTCTCTGAGGGAAAAGATGTGTGATTATACAGAGGGTACTAGAGGACTTTCCTCTTGCACAGGAAAGCTACCTTAACTTTTTTGTCCTGTCTCTATTCCTCACTTCCACCTACTAAAATTATAACAAGTAGACTTTTTTTTTTAAAGTTTAAATGATTAAATGTAAATAAGCCATTCAAGTGGTTACTGGCATAATTATGCTTAACATTTATTGAGTGTTTACTATGGTGATCTACCACACAATTTTTGGTCACCAGAGACCTTTGCTAATGAAGCACTTCATTTGGAAATAGCAATAACTTAAGCTTCAGATACCAGGTAAGGTATTCTCTTAATCAGTGCGAACCTTGTGTATTCTTATCCTGACAAATGGTGAGATGTAGTCTGCCTCTTAGTATTCCTGCTTCCAGCCAAGCTATCTTCTCCATTTTTCTCTAAGCCCTGGTGACCTCATACTATTTTGCAAGTTAATGTTAGACATTTCATTTCCCTAGAGTTTATTTTGCACAATCAGAATTTCATCTTATTGACATTGGGCAAATCACTTAAAATTTCTGTACCTAAATTTCTTTATATATAGTATACATATTAGGATACTTAATCCATGGAGTTTTCATTAGGTTCAAGTGAAAGAATGAAACTGCTGTTAATTACCATGAATATATGAAGAACTATTAACCCAAACCTCTGTCTCTCTTTTGCTCTCTCTCACATACTTACACAAACGTGTTTTAGAACCTACTCTGTATGTAAGTTCTGTCAAGTACTTTACAATGTAGTGCCATCGCAATATAGATAAAGTTAAAAATGTAAAGGGAATAATATTTTGACCCCACCGATTTGTTTTCTCCTTTTGCTGATCCAGCTCCCTACAATTCTTGTATAATTTTCCCCCTGGGATGGGAAGGCAAATGTGTCTATAGAAGAAGGAGATTATGATTGTATTATTTTTCTCTTGTTGCCACAACAAATTACCACACATTTAAAAGTTTAAAACAAGACAGATTTATTATTCCACTGTTTCTGTAGGTCAGATCTGACATGAATCTCACAGGACTAAAATCAAGGTATTGGCAAGGCTGCATTCTTTACTAAAGGCTCTGAGTTTAATCCAATTTCGGACTTACTCAGGCAGAGTTCAGTTTCATGTGGCTGTAGGTCCCCTTTCTTTCTTGGGTGTCAGCAGAGGATCTTTCCTCCTAAACAGCCCACATCTGTCTAAGGATGCAAACCCTCCTCTTTCCCATTCTGCCACAACTCTCTGACTCATTCATGTACTTTCCTCTTCCACTTTTAAGGGCTTATCTGATTACATTGAGCTCACCTAGAAAATCCAAAATAATCTTCCTATTTTAAGGTCACCTAATTACCAACCTTAATTCCAAAGTTCCTTCACTGCAGTATAGTGTGCTCTTCCAGGTATAGTGTGCCCTCCCAGGATTTGAACTCCTTTTCATATGAGATGGAAGAATTTGCATGTCCTTTTTCTTCTTGGTGCCTCTCAGCTTGAAAAAAAAAACAGCTGGAAGTTTTTCACCTTGAAATATAAGTAGAGTTCTACGTGCCTCCATGTCCTTAGATAAAGTTCTTGATGCCAATTCAGATGAAGCAGGAGTGTCTCACTAACACTTCTGTTTATTCCGGTACTGCTGATAGGCAGAACAAATGATGGTTTCACAGATGAGAACACTCAAGCAAAAAAAAAAAAAACGGTTGGCACAGCACATGTGATTCTAATCAATTAAAACACCCAGTACAGGTTGAATATACCTTATTCAAAATTCTTAGACCAACCAGAAGTATTTTAGGTTTCAGTTTTTTGTCTTTTTTTAAATCATTATTTGGATTTTGGAATATTTCCATTACATACTTACCAGTTCAGCATCCCTAGTCTGAAAATACAAAATCTGAAATGTTCCTTTGAGTGTCATGTTGGTGCTCAAAAAGTTTTGAATTTTGGACCATTTTATAAATCAGATTTTCAGATCACAGATAGTCAACCTGTATATTCCCTTTCATTTCTTCGCCACCATAATGTGAATGAGGTTAGGGATGTTGTTGATTTTGCTTGGTATTGTTTTTCAGTGCCTTCATGGGTCTGGACAGAGAGTAGGCATTCAATAAATCACATTCCTACCACCACTCTGATGGTGAGCATTTTATCTGGAATTTTTTTTTTTTTTTTTTGCTATACTCATCATTAGCAGAGGGACCTTTGGGAGAACTGGTAAATTTCAGATAAGCCTGTTTATCTTTACTGTGGCTGAAACCTAGATCTGCAGAGATCTTTATATATTAGCAAATGCAGGCCCTACCATAGGTAGGCAGATATTATTATCATTCCACTTTACCAAGAAGGCAACTGGGGCCCAGAGTGAGAGGATGATCATCCAGGTAAGAAGAGGCAGATAAAAGAACATAGCCCAAAGTTTCTCTCTCCCAGTGTAGTGCTTTATTCACAATGTCACTCAAGCATAGACAAGCTGAAATTGTCTTCTCTCCTTCTTCTGCACGCCAGAGAATTTAATCAAAAAGGCAGATGAAATAGTAAATGAAGTTGTTGTCACCAGGATACAGGCTGACCTGCCCTTTGCTGAGACAGAAGAATACTGGACATTGAACATCATCCTGCTCTATAAAAAAAGCTCCACCAGGCCCTATACGGATATTGCCAAGAGGACATCCTCCTGATCACCCTGTGGGCGTTAGAGAGCTAGCCAATACAGATTTAAAACAGAGCCAAATGGCATTGTGCTTATAAGGCTATATACCTTGAACTAGAATAACAATGAGACCCACACAAACCAGGATAGATGCTGGGTCACTTTTGGCTGAGAGAACAAAGCATTAAAGAGTAAAAAAGAGAGAGAGAGAGAGAGAGAGAAATGCCTTCTTGGAGTCTGTTCTTCAATGTGGAAAATAAAATTTGGCCAGTGCTAAAAGACAATCTGTTCACTTAGTACCTCTGTATTAGAGCTTCCCAGTAGCCCATAGGAGCCTTTCCAATTTCTCAGAGAAAGACTCAGCACTCAGGCTGTGAGGCGTGTACCAATCAGCAGCGGGACGTGGGTCGCAGCTTCCCCTGCGGCAGGTTGGCTCTTTGCTGAGGATGGAAGAGTTGGAGAGCAGCCAAAGTGCAGAAACAAACAGAAGTGGTGTCAGTGGATTTTTTTGGTTGTGGTAAGTGTGAAGTAATTAGGCATATTAAAAGTGATGCAAAATTACAAAATACTTAAATTCGTGATCTGAAATTAGATTATCTTTAAATCCAATTGTGTGTAGCATCTTTTTCTCAAAGCCAAGTTTCTGTCATAAATTTAATGAAGAAGACAATGCCATTATATGGATAAATAAAAAATGAAGAAAAACAATCTAGCTTCCATCTACATATTTTGAAACAAGAAACAATTTGCCAAGAGAATCCTGCAATATTTCGACTTGATTTTGTAGCCTAGATCAACATTTATTAATGTATGCTTTTAAGGGGAAAAATTCCTTTTCATATCTATGAATCCAAAAACATATTTGGGAACAGGGCTTTGATTTGTTCAAGGTGATAAATAAGCTGATTTCATATAATTTCAACTTAACTCGTCATAGGCTGATTTTTTTCATAAGTAATCATGCTAGCTAGTTTATTTTTTATAATTATATGATATATTTATGTACAAATCTACTTGTATATTGCTAATTAATTATATTGTAAATTAAGAAAATTTGAACATATTTTTATTTTCTCCTTTATTTACTAAATAAATTCTTGTATAAAAAATAAACATTTCCTCAATATCTTTCCATTTCAGAATGTAAGGAACTTCCTTCTTCCTTAAAGCTGCATTTTATTTCATTGTGAGTATAAAATTATAGTTAATTTAACTCTAGCCTCCCTACTAATGGTCCTTGGGTTAGTTTTAATAAGCCACCATTACAAAAATACTGCAGTGTCATCAATGGACACATGTCATTTCATTTCTCTCATGTCATAAGTATGCAGATAAATCTGTAAGACAGATCTCATGTGTAGGATTTCCAGGAATAATAATAAATATTTAATACATTTTTAATTCTGATAGATACTGACAATTGTTTTTTTAAAATTCATTTCTATTAATATTGTACCATTTCCACCAATCAATACTCACTCATGACTATGGGAAAAATACTATCAACATTGTAGACAAGATATTACTTGGCATTTATTTTCCAAGTGAGAATGTTAGACTGTATGTTGCTTCTCTGTGCCATGAACAAAGAACATAGGAAGAAATGTCCAGGAAGAGCTGCCATCATACACTAATTTTACTATGTTGAGAACTGGCAAATGAGTTAGTTAACAAGAGCTTAAATAACCAGGACAGTTTTATTTTTATAATCACCTTGAATAGAATGAAATGTTGACAGCTCAATTTTGAAAAAAAAAGAGCAGACATCTAAGGAAACTACTGAATACAAAAATAAATGGCTAGAGAAGGTGATTTCAGGGGGATATGGGTAAAAAGCAAAGCAATAAAGTATTAGAATTCTATTTCAGGTAGTCTTTACAGATATGACAATTATCTACGCTACTTTCTTTTCTTTCTTTCTACGCTCTTTCTCCCTTTCTCCTTTCTTTTTCTTTCTTTCTTTTCCTTCTTTCTCCCTTCATTCATTCTTTCCTTCTTTTCTTCCCTCTTTTCTCCCTCCCTCCTTTTTATATCTATAGGAAAATTAAGAATTATAATGGCAAAAAATGAAAATGACAGTAATATGCTGAATTTCCAAATTAAGTTCTATATTAATGTTAGTCAGATTTAACTTGTATAAAATGATTGGACTCTAACCTAATCTTAGTTGTAATCTCTTTTATGAATTGAAAGCATGTAGTATAAAAACATTTTCATTTTTAGTAGTTGCTCAATGCCAGAAAATATGATGCAAAAGTGAAAATGACTTAAATTATTCTTTCAAAGATATCTCTATATATCTGGGATGACAGACACAGAAACATGTACTTGTCCTATAATAAGAGAGATGTTAGAATTGAAGTATTAATACACTATGATGGGAAGACAGATAAGAAAACAGTGCAGGGTAGGGAACTAAGGTCAGATGGGTCAGGGAAAAACACAGAGAGGAGGTAATATATGGCCTGGCTTTTCAGAGATAAGCAAACTCACTATTTTATATGTAAGAGAAAGAAGACATTTTCCAGAGACCAGTAGCCATTTTAGATGTGAATTTTAAAAAGATGACATTAAAGTAATGTATAGTGGACTGGATGGTGCAGAGAATTTCTACAAAGAATGTAATAGGTGTTGTGCAACTTGACAGAAGGGAAGTATAAAAAAAATCAGGTAGAACTAGAGAAAGAAAAAATGGCTTGTGAAGAGTACAGATTCTCTAGGCAGGGGGTCAGCTTGTCAGATTGGTAAGGAGGCATCAGCAAATGGAGAGAGTTCAGCAAATTAGCTAAGTTAGAAAGAAGGGGAAATGAGAAAAAATGATTCTGCTATGTTGGAGTCAACAATAAAACAGAAATAAGTGAATGTCTCTCTTGCAGCTTTCCTTTTTGTAAAAAATCGCACTAATCCATCCTCCTGCTGAGATTGTTTCAGTACTCTTGTTCTCAAAAAATAGATACATCCCATCATTTTGAAACCTGAAGCTACTTAGATTTGAGAAGAAGCTTATTCTTTATACCAGAAGTTTCTCTCTAGACAAATGTTCAATTCACATACTTAACATGAAAGAACTTTATTACGGTGACAAAGTGCCATAATTTAATGGGTCACATTAATTGAAACTAGATATGTTAGGATATCAGATTTACTCTGTTTTCAATTAACTCAACAATTTACCTTTGATGATTTCATTTAATCTTTCATTCCACAAATATTCTTGAATGTCTGTTAAGTGCCAGGGAATCTTCTAGGAACTGTGAGTACATTGCATCCTTTATAGAGCTTTCTTCCTAGTAACGGTAAAAAGATGAATAGATACATGTAAATTATGTTATATAATGAGAAGAACTAAAAACAAAAAAAGGAAGTTTTAAAGATAAGAGCATTGTAGTTGATGTAGTGAGAGGTGACATTTGAGCAAAGAGATTAAGCTGGTGAATCAGCGGGGCATGGAATTACTGGGAAAGAGCATTCCATGTGGAGGGCAGGAAAAAGGCTATAGAGTTCTCTAGGAGACTGTCTAGTATGTTCTAGAAAGTCCAGGGTCCCTATGACTAAATCTGAATAAGCAGAAAACAGAGCCAGAGAGTAACACAAGAATAGCAGGGTCCACTTCATGTAGGGCCTTGAATGTCATTATGCAGACTTGGGCATTTATTCTTATTTGGATGAGAAATCACTGAAATTAACAGAGAAGCAACATAAACCACCTTCCATCTGAACAGTGTCACTCTAGCTATTGTTGGGAATATATTCATTGTTGGGAATGTGCTTAAACAAGAGGCAGAAAATCATTAAGGCAACTATCAAAAAGTCAAAGTGTGAGTGCTTGGACTGGAGATGGAGCAATAAAGGTAGTACTAGAGGCAGGGAGGAGGAAACAGATTCTGGGTAAATGTCGATGGTAAAGCTGACAGAATTTGTTAATGAATTATATGTGGAATGTTTTAAAAAAAATGGCAAAGAGTCAATGAAAAGTACAAATTTTATGGCCTGAGCAATTGGAACAATAGAGTTGCCATTAACAGGATGGCAAACACCAATGAGTGATCAGTTTGGAAAGGCATAGTATGAGTTCCATCTCTACATACTAAGTTTTAGATCTCTATTAAACATCAAGTGGAGGGATGTCCAGTAAGTTGTTGAATACATAAGTCTATAGTTTAGAAGAGAAGTCCAGGCTGGAGATTTAAATTTAGAACTCAACAGCAATTGCTTATTTGTTAGCAATGACATCCTTTGAATGTAACACAAAATTTTGGAAAGACAGAAATGGTTTTACCTTCAATAACTTAGAGTCAAATGTAAACAAAACAAAACAAAACAAAAAAACAATGTATACTAGTAAAGTAGCAAGCAAGCACTTCCAAACTGTACGGATCATTGCTAAACTGTCTTATCTCAAAGAGGGAGACTATTGTAGCTGGAAAGCACAACATAGAAGAGATCAATCTTCAGAAGTCAGAAACATTTTAATCAGAAAAATGGAGGAAATAGGTATGTTTAGAAAGGAAAAGAAACTTGAGATAGTTTTGAAAATGAAATAGAGGTATACTTCCTTCGACCTACTTGGCTTCCCTCCATAGTCTCTTTCCACACTCCTCCATTCCTTACACTTGTAAAACTTTCCTTTTAAAAGCGTAATTCGTCTACTCACATTCCTCTAGATGAGGTGAACGACAGCACACACAAACATACATACTGTCGTGTGTGTGTGTATAGGTATATAGCGATACCACTGGCTATATATACGTACTCCTATACTGATATGATGTTCAACGTTACGCCTTCTTGTGGTGCACTGTCATTACTGCCTGTCTTTCTCATTCTCAAATGCCTGCCTCATGCACAAGAACCCGATGGTCCTCCCTGAACTATTATTTGATAATGCCAGACCCTTGCACAACTCTTTGTCTTTGCCTTGTTTCCCCTATGAATGCTCTTCCTGGCATTAATTTGTGAAACTCTTCTTATCCTGCGATGGTCTGCTTCCATGTGCTTAATTAAGACTTCAAGTCTCACCAAATGTCTCTCAAAGATTACATGTATCACTCAAAACAGCCTGGGGAAATAAAATGAGCCCTTTTCCTTTTTCATATAACAGTTTCTTTATGTGTAACACTTTACCATGGTGATTTATTAACTAGTTTTTCTGCCCTACTAAATGTTGAGCTCCTTGAGGCAGTTATTCTATCCTGTTGATCTTGTCATTTGAGGCAATCAAAGTTGCTGGCACATAAGAGATACTCAATATTTTTTTTTTTTACATCAGAAATAAATTT